TGTGTGTGTGTGTGTGTATGTGTGTGTGTGTGTGTGTGTGTGTCTGTGTGTGTGTCTGTGTGTGTGTCTGTGTGTGTGTGTGTGTGTGATTTCTTTTGTTTATGCAAATTATGTGCATTTTTCCTAGTTATTGTTCATTGTTCTTGGATTTATGTAAAGCACTTAGAGCTGTGTGGACATAAAAGTGGGTGCTATAAAAATGATCATTATTATAGTTATGATATTATGATTATGACTATGGTTATGATTATGACTATGATTATAAATATGATTATGATTCTGTTGTTTTTTTTACTTTATCAGGGTTTCTTCAGGCGAAGTCTGACGCGTGAAGAGCCTTACATGTGTCTGGGATCTGGAAATTGTCCCATCGGCCCTGACCATGAACGGAGGAAATGTTGTCCAAAATGTCGCCATGACAAATGTTTGTCCGTGGGCATGAGCAAAGATGGTGAGTCAGAGTGATCTGTCTTCATGTGCAGTGTTCGAGTGGTTGGTGGGAGCTCTTGTTTTTTCTTCCTCCTTCTTTCCTATCAAACATCTATCATCCTTACCAGCGACTGACCGTTATTGTATCGATGTGCTCCGAAAAAAACAAACTCTCTTTACCAATATTACTCCATGTCGTTTTCCCCCCATAGTTCTCTTTGACTGTGCCGACAGCTATCAAAACAGGACATTTCTTTACACTTATTTGACACGCAGTTTATTATGCCCACTGGACATTATTCATTTGACTTTTATTTGCCAGTATCATTCAGAACAGGACGGTTCATTATACACAAATTTGTTTTGACCTTTATTTGCCAACATCTCTCAAAACAGGACATTTCCTAATACATGTATTCATTTTTGTCTGTATTTGCCCTCAGCTATCAAAACAACACTATGTTTCTTCATATGTATATTCATTTTGAAATTTATTTACCCACAGCTATCAAAACAGGATGTATACGTTATATAATCATTCAACATTTACTATTTACCCGCAGCTATCAAAACAGGACGTTATTCACGTGAGAAGAAATCAACGTATGTACTAGAAGTCATGGAACTGCGCGAAAAACTTGCGCGCTCTCCGCCATCAGCTGCTCAGATGCCAGGCATCCACTCAGAATGTGTGTCTGGGGAACTGGGTGAGGATGACGGTGTTGCACATTGCAGAAGACCAGAGGGATTGTTGGGTCCTTCTTGTCAGAGTCAAACTACGTGTCTAACCAGAACGGGAGAGGTAGAACATGATGCTTTTGTTAGTCCGCAAGAGGGAGTGTTCGGGGAATATGTGGAGACCTCTGAGGGGGCAAGAAAAGGTCGTCCTCAACTGTCTCAAATGTCTGGCTGTTTGTCAAACAAAGGAGAAACCTTCTGTAAGAAGCTATCAGACCAGAACAGGCAGAGCCAGAAAGTGTCCTCAGATGTAAACATTCAGGATGTTGGTTGTGGTAATCAAGACGCCAGATATAGTAACAAAAACAACAAGGCTGCAATGACGGGGATAAAGTCAGTGCCACAGCCACGAGTGGTAGAATATGATGATCTTCCCCCGCCTTGTATGTCTTACACTTTTGTAAGCAAAGACTCGAAGCGCGCTCTGAAAAGAAAGCTGACTGGAAAGAAAAAGGACAGCGACAATGTTCAGAAGGCAGAGACTTCAGATTCTTCTCGAAGCACAAAAATCACGTCAGTGGAGCAGTTGGGGTCGTCTCTCCCTGGAGCACCACCAATGCCGAACCTTGGAAGTATACAGCCTGCTGATACCATTTCTGAAGTGGAGCATTCGCCTGCCCTTTTTAATACATTAGCAACTCAGCTTTGTGCCTCTCATCCAGCCCCCGTTTCCTTGGTAACAAGTACTCCCATGAACACTAGGCCCGGCGCAGAAGCAGGGTCTTTTTTGTCATCGTCTGATCAGTGTTATTCAAATATATCCCCCAGTACCTCATTCAAAATTTCTTCTTCTTTTTCTTCTTCTTCTTCTTCTCCTTCTTCTTCTTCTTCTTCTTCTTCTTCTTCTTCTTCTTCTTCTTCTTCTTCTTTTGTCCCTCCTCCACAACTGACCTCTGATTTTTCTGCTTCTTTCACAAATCCTCCACCACTTTACAACAATCACCCGCCGACACCAGCTCATCTTCTGGACCTGGATCTGTCTCTGCCCCCTGTCCCTGAGACGGAAGAGATGCCAAGTTTTGAGGGAATAAAAAACCAGGCCTGCTGCTTAGGTTCGGACTTCATTCCAGATGACTTTGAGTTTCCTCCGCTTTCTACTGGAATCCATCTATCAGAATTACGGTCAGTTATGTCCCCTACATTTTGCGCGTTGGCTGACGAGGTGGAGGAGAATATCTGTGACCTTGATTGTGACTTTCCGGAACCGACTATTGGGTACGCCAATTCCAGTGCTCAGGTGGAAAATATACAAAATGTGGACAGTGAATCCTCAAATACTGAGCTGCCTTTTCAGAGTCTGGAGTGGAGGCGTGCTGAGGCTATCCGTCAGATGGACAACAGTTATGATGAGGTGATTAGCCTTGCAGAAGATCTGTCCAAATGCCAGCTTTATTCCTATGAGATGACACTCCTGGGCCCGATTTTTAACCAGCTTTGCATCTCCGGCCCACAGAATGCAACTGTTAGTTGTAGTAGCCCCGACCAGCAAAGTGATGTGGGAAGGCAAGCATCCATGCAACATGATTCCCAATCCCACACAACCAGTCAGAAAGCACCCATGCAATTTAATTCTCAATGCCACATCATCAGTCAGCAAATACCTACCCATTCTCAGAACCACCCTAACAGTCAGCAAACACCCCCTTTACCAGATTCTCAAAATCAATCCAACCAAACATTTGCCCCCTGTGGTATTTCATCTCCAACCTCTTTACCGTCTGCAATGCCCTTGTCCACCACATACAGCACTGGGCTGTCGCCCCATCCCAACCATCCTCGACTTTCTGGGTCACCCTCTTCCTCATCCCCATCACCTCCACAACCGAAGCCAGCAAGATCAGAGCAGGGATTTTGCGAGGCTGAATACAACAAACTCTTGCCATGGTGTGAGTTTTCCGAAGGTCACCTTGATGATGTGGCCTCTATGCTTTTGGAGGCCCACATAAAGCACATTGGCAAGGACATGAACTCTGTGAGCCGGGAGGAGATAGCAGAAAAGTCAGAGATCTATCTGGTGAGTACGATAATGATTTTTTGTAAACGGGACCACTATTGACACAATCTAAATCATTCAGACTCACTGTTTCAGCCATATTGCTGTCGTAATTAAGGTTGAGCCTGAGGAGTCTCAGCAAAAGTATGAAGGTACATGTTGTTGGTGTCACAAGCTATCCACATAAATCCGTTTGGGCAATTTACATACCAGAGACAAAAAAAACAACCCAAAACTAAAAACAAACAAACAAAAACAACTAGTTTTTGTTGTGCTGTTCCTATCTGGCATGAAAAGCAAGAAAATTGTAAGTCTAGACTGGTGGTGTTGAAAGGGACATCTTTGATAAAGCTTAGGGGGGGTGTAAAAATCGAAAATTTTCCAAATTTGGACTTGTAAATTGCTTGCTACAGTTACGATGTACTTGATATAAATTTTCTTCTTGTAGGAATCGAACTCATCTCTTCTGTGTGCAAAGAAATGAGTCTTAGTATAGTACAACAGAGGTTGATGTGAGCTGTTGTTAGACAGCCTGGGGTATGTTTGCTAATAAAGGGACATGATAAATAATGGGTACGGAAAGGGAAGCAAAGAGGTCCGTCCGATATTGTGGTGCGAACAGACACCTAGTGGTTATCCTACTGAGATTATTGTTCTCCCTCTCCTCCTCATCCTCCTCCTCCTCCTCCACCACCACCATTACCTCCTCCTCCTCATTCTCCTCCTCCTCATCCTCCTCCCCCACTGCCTTAGGGTTCATTGAATGTGGACTCTGTAGCCTATGGTGCTACAGAACTTTTCATATCGATGACATTTTTTTTTCCAACGAGAGTATTGGTCTTTCTGGCTTATAAGCAGCAGTAACCTGTTTGCATAATACATGTATTCTTGCTTTATTGTTCTGAAATAACTGAAATTCCTTATGTTTTGGTAGGCAAAGGTTAAGAATTTTTCTTGACAGTTGGTTTTAGAAGATCAAGTCTTAAGTTCTCTGACTTTCAGCTGTTGGGAAGGGGGGTGGGAGGGAAGGAATTGCACCACTTGTGCCCCTTAGTCCTAGACATTGTCACCAATATAACAAGCCTACCCCACCCCCGGCTTAACCTATTCGGGATACATGGGGTCTAGTAAAATACTCTCCTTAAAAGCTTTTTATCTTTCCTAGCTCATATAAAACTTAACTTCCGTCCGCACTGAACCCGGAAAAATAAGGGCCTCATAGGTTGCAAATTTACCAGTCATCTAGATGTAGATCTAGTCTGCCTTGTTTTCGCATCTAATACCCAAAGCACACTGCCAATCAGATTCATTGGTTTCAGTCGGACCAGTCAGATTTTCCTTCATGGATGGGACAAAAGCTACCATTTTGGCATTAAACGATTGATTCAAAATCAAAATCAACTACTTCGTTCAGATCCTCCAAAACAACACAGACAGCTCATTATACATCGAGGACTTTCTGATGTGCTGTCCTTCCAAAAATCCTCGACTAAGATCTATTGAAAGACAGCTGCAAACACAGCTGTACAAACTTGAAAAGTGGACAAACTTTGTTTTGACTTCGGAGAGACTCGAAGAAAATATAAATGTAGAAATTTGAAAGATCAGTTCTCCATCGTTGATCTCAACAGAATTCTCGATTTTATAAAGACCATTGGCCTTTTCAGTAAAATGTAAATATTGTTATTTAGATTAAATGTAAATTGCTTTTTGTTTTTGCAACGTAAAATATTACCATAAAATTTTAAACCTTTTAAACTGACCATCAAACGAAATCAAGCTGCCCTGTGAACTGCTGTGAATACAATGAAAACTTTGAACATCTCAGCAAATCTTACTAAACCAAACTAAAAGCTGAACTAAGAAAGTGAAACTAATTTGTCAATTCTAGAGATTAGTTAATGTCACTGTGGTTTTTTGTCTTGTTCGCAATAGTGCTAGGAAAAGGGGGAAAATGAGGAGGCCCGGAAGAGAAGAGGAAAACAATCTACTTCCATTAAATATCTGGGAAAGAGTAAGCTAGGAATAATTCTGAACTTAAAGTTGCATGCACATTGCGGATAAGAACTGGCAAACTATGAAATACGTCAAATAAGCCAAACGAAGTGAAAGAAAAAAAACCCTCCAATGTACAACTTAATGTCCAAATCTGTTTTTTTGTTTTTTGTTCGGGGATTCCACAGAAACTTTGTCGTCTCAAGGAGCGTGTGTTTGGAAGGCAATCATTATTGCACAATAAGGACGAGTACTTCGAGATCCTGGAGAACACAGGTGTGGACATCGACGGCCGCAAGGAGTGGGTGGAGTTCAATGTCAAGATCACCAACGATGTCCTCTTCAAGGTCGTCCGCTTCGTTAAGTCTGTGCCAGGATTTCTGGACCTGTGTAAAGACGACAGATTTGTCCTTTGTCGATGTGAGTCGGGAATAATGATAATAATAATAACAGTGGGATCCTATTATAACGAGAGGGAGGGGACTGGTGCGAAATATCCGTTATAGCAGGATTCTTGTTATAAAGGATCCAGTAATGAATTCAAGGGAAACAATAAAGTAGGCCTAATCTATGAGTTCTGTTAATTTCCTTTTGTTATCTCCCCTAATGGTGATTTTGTTCAAATGGACCTCAAGGTCTTACTTGATCAAAAATCGAATCAGGTTTCGTCCTCTAGCACTAGCGATGTTGGCAGCTCAGCATTGGCGATCAGAAAGAAAAGGCTCTAGGCTAACTCGCCTGCTGTATTGTCCCCCGTCCCACCACATCATGTGGTGTGTTCCGTCTGCTTGTGCACATGGGTACACACCACACCCTGCCCATGTCACACATTCGCTCCATCCATCACAGCACTGTCCTACCCGTATCGGAGAAGTGAGAGGCATGGTAGGCCTAGATAATCTAGACTAGGCTGGCCTATCACGCAATGCATTCTGCTTGTCTGCGTATGCCACACCCTTCCCACTCTTTCGTTCCGGCCTTCATTGTTGGTATACATGGGCTCTCCCATTCTTTGTTTCACTAGATCACCAACAAGTTTCTCAATTGGCGAAGTTTTATGTCTAATTGGCCTATAGCAGCAGCAATATTCTGCTATAACCGACTCGCGTGTTTGTCTGATTGAGCTATAGCAGTATTTTATTTTAAAATATAAAGAAGGAAACAAACAGGGTTTTAGAATATTCTCTTTATAACCGACTTCTTGTTATTTAAGGACTCGTTATAAGTAGAAACCATTATAATAATAGTATTAATAATAATAATAATAATAATGATAATTGTAATAATAGCAACAGCAACAGCAACAACAATAATAATAATAGTAATAATAATAATAATAATAATAAAATAATAATGATAATGATAATGATAATAAATGGCTAATGGCAACACAATGGTGATTCTCTACCAGTGCCTGTAGTCTAATTGTCAGGCTCTTTGCACAGTTGTACGTTCATTTCTCGTGTGGGGAGGCTACTTTATCGAGTGCCTCTGTCTGTCTGTTGGGATGTTGTTTGTATCCTCTTCAGCCTGGGTTGGTCCTGACAAGTTGGGAGGGAGCAGCCTACCTTCTGAATGATTTAATTTGTTAGAGGGGGGGAAGAGTTTTTACTTCTATTTTTTTAAAAAGCGTTCTCTTTTTCTTCAGCATCCTTCATTGACTGTCTCATCCTGGGGAGTTTTCGTGGCTTTGACCTCCGGAACAACATCGTGATAAATGATTTGAACTTAGCCACCAATTTTGACGAATGCCTCGGACTCTTTCCAGAGTATGACGAGAACATACATTTCTTCTGGGCCTTAGCCAGGCGGATTCAAGCTATGGACCTCACTCTTGAGGAAATTGTTTTGTTGAAGGCTATTTGCATAACATCGCCAGGTGCGCTTTTATTTCTGTAACTCTTTTTCTTTTGTGTGTCACTAACTTTTCATTTATTTATTTATTTATTTATTTACCGTCGAACCTGTGTAAGATGGCCACCCTTTGTCAAGGAGAAAAGTGGCCGTATAAGACAGGTGGCCGTCTTAGGCAGGACTGATCAATATGAAGAAAACAAACCATTCCTTTCTGAGGTCCCAACTGAAGGTAGCCTCATTGTTGTTGTTGTTTTGTGCAAGGGTGGCAATAAAACGAAATATGTCAGACAAGGAGGCCCGAGTGCCATGGTATAACAAACACATGGGTCACCACCACTCCCAGAACGAGCGACGCTTCTGTCACAAGTTCATATTGACGTCCGTTGTTACTTTGTTACACACTGGGTAAAAATGACGACTCATCTCACTTATGATTTGTGTATGAGTTCTGGGCGTGGCTTATGGGTTATGAGGGATCAAACGGTTACCTCACCAGCAGCTGAAAATTTGTTAGCTATTGTTGGTCAACAGTGGGAGGGGCCTATGCAACATGATCGGTTGGAGTGACTACCTAATAACAATGACAGGTGATTGGATTATGTCAGCTTGCCCACAACGCCAGGGGCCAATGCACAATTTATGAAAAAACCTAATGGATTCACTAAGGTGGCCATCTAAGACAGGTGTTATTGCTTCTTGGTGTGATAGGGGTTGTGTGTTAAAACATGGTGACCGTGGCGGGGTTAGACAGGTACCCGTTTTACACTGTTAAATTATATAGAAAAACCGCAAGGGGGGAAATGGAAAGTGGCCGTTTGTACAGGTGGCCGTCTTATAGAGGTAGCGGTCAGGGCAGCTTCGACTATTTATTTATTTATTTATTTATTACGTATTCATTTATTTGTGTATTTATTAATTAATTTTTTTTGTTTCTGTATATATAGCTTCTTTTATCCGATTCAGTTACCGTCATCTCTGTGCCATAAAGCATCTTTTTCTGTCTGTCTTTGCATTAAATGATTTTTGTTGCGTCGGTGTGCTTCTCTTTACTCAAACAAAGCTGAACTAAACTAGATTGTGATGAAAGTGTATGGCAAGCACTTAACCTTCCGACTGTAAAC